TCATATCAAGATTCAATAGAAAATGACAGACAGTAAAGTTAAAGCTGAATTGGATACATCTAAAAGTGCATTCGAAGGTCTATTTTTTGTTTCATTTGTTTGGTCTTTGCCATAACCTTGATGCCAATTTGCAGTTGTGTCAAAGTTAAGAAACAATAATTTTGGAAGTTCACCTATAAATTTATGTTATATCTCAATTATATCACTAGAATTTCTATTGCTATGAAGAGTGTATGCAAAATGAGATTGTTCAGTGGGGACTCTCACTTACTAACATGTACAGAGAACCATACATTGAGTAATCAATGGTGGACCTGCTGCTGCTACATGAAAGGCTTATAGACTGAACTGCTCACTTTTTTCCTACTCAGCTCACAATCTGGACTTGTAGAGTCAGCTTCACTATCCTGCAGTAGCAAAATGCTGATACGAAGTAAGGACCAAATAGCAAAACCACCAAGTAACAAATGTCAGCCGCCAGAGCACTAATACACCTGAATTGAAAGTTAACAACAAGGGGCATCAGGAAGAGTCTATATAATCAAAAAAGAATTAAGAATTATTATAATTCTTAATATAACTAGATATCATATAATACTTATAATTATTATGTAATAATTACATGTAATTATGGTATAATTACATAATATATGTTATTATGTATGTAACTGTATGTATGTATGTTATATATTATATATGTTATATATTATATGTTATATATTATGTATATATGTTATCTATTATATAACGGAGCCAGCTTGCACCAGCTCACAAAAGCTGATTGCAGGCATCTCTTTCCAGCTCCACATTCAGTGTAGTCATGTTATTAACTTGAAATCAACCATTATGAGAGTATTTACACCACAGAAATTGGCAATCACTGCAAATCAAGCCACTTTTCAGAAAGCTAGTTGTTAAATATTTACCAGGACATCACTGAATATAAGTGACCCAAGAACAATGCATATTGGACATTTGTTTTATCTTCCTTGGAGAAATCTGCCCATTTTAAAATTAGGATATTTGTCTTTTCATTGTTGAGTTGTTAGTGTTCTTTATATATTCTGGACACTAGACCCTTATATGGTTTGCAAATATTTTCTCCCAGTCTGTGGATTGTTCTTTCACTTTCATTATAGTATAATTTTGCAGCACAACAATTTTTCATTTTGATGAAGTCCAATTTATCTATTTTTTTCTTTGGTTGCTTGTGCTTTAGGTGTCATATCTAAGAAACATTGCCCATCCAAGGTCATAGGTATTTACTCCTTCATTTTCTTCTAACAATTCTATAGTTTCAGCTCTTACAGTTGAGGAAATTTTCTTCATATCCTAATTTGTTTAATGTTTTTTTTATCATGAAAGGGTGTGGGTGTTGGATTTTGTCAAATGTTTTGTCTGCATCTGTTGAGATGATCATGTGTTTTTTTCCCTTTATTCTATTTATATGGTGTATAACATTAATTGAGTTTCATATGTTGAACCAACCCTGCATTCCTGGGATAAATCCCACTTGGTCATGGTGTATAATTCTTTTTATATGCTGTTGCATTCAGTTTGCTAGTGTTTTGTGGAGGAATTTTGTGTCTATATTCATAAGAGATATTAGTCTGTAGTTTTCTTTTCTTGTGATGTCTTTGTCTGGTTTTGGTGTCAGGGTAGTACTGGCCTTATAAAATTAGTTCAGAAGTGTTCCCTTGTCTTATATATTTCTGAATATTTTGTGAAAGATGGTGTTAACTCATCCTTAAATGTTTGGTAGAATCCACCAGTAAAGTTATCTGGTTCTTGGGTTTTCTTTATGGGAAGTTTAAAAATTATTAACAATTTTTTTTAATCTTCCTCTGAAGTGGCTTGAAGCTGGGTTGCCTCAGTAACAGTAATACCCATGAGAGACAACTAATAGTCCTCTCTTGGTCCTAGATTTTGGTTTCTAATGCTGTTCTCCTTTTAAAGGCTTCTTGGCTCCTTGGAGGGTGACTGCGGTGGGAGATGGGCGTGGGGCATCTTGTTGCCATTAGCAAGGATGCATTCAATAATTCTGCGTTATGTCAAGGACATAAGAGTCAGCTTAAAGGACTCCCAGTAGCCAAACTGTGACCATGTAAGCATCAAAAATGAAATAGCAGTCAGTCTATTAACATAAGTTGAGGAAAGAAATAGAAAAAAGGAAATAAGATGGTAGACTAATGTGCCAATACATCAATAATTACCTTAAATGTAAATGATCTAAATACACCTATCAAAAGACAGAGATTGACAGAGTGGATAAAAGAAGAAAGTCCAATTAAGTTGCTGCTTACAAGAAACTCATTTCAAAGTCAACTATTAGGTAGGTTGAAAGGAAAAGGATAGAAAAAGATATACCATACAAACTTTAATTTTTTAAAAAGCAGGAGTGGCTATATCAATATCTGATTAAAGTAGACTTCAGAGCAAAGAAAATATCTAGAGACAGAAGAAGACATTATATAATTATAAAAGCATCAATCCACCATAAGGTGGGGAAGAAATTTTCCTCTACCCTTCTAGGTTCTTCTGGCTGGTCTAAAAATTAAATTGACATGAGACCCAGAATAACAGGAGAAAATCAAACAAAGTTTAATAATATGCACATATGGGAGAAACCCAGGAAAACCAAGTAACTCACCAAAATGGCTGAAGCCACCACCTTAAATACCATTTTCAGCTAAAGACAAAAGAGGATGGTGAGAGTAGTGGTTTGGGACTTCTAAGGGGAGGAAAGCAATTCACATGGAGATGGAAAAGCAAATGTTTGGTAAACAAATGTTTGCCAGGCCTTGCAGAGACAATGGGACATGGAGAGGGCTTGGATCAAATGGGCCTTGCTGGGCTCCTGCCTGTCTACCACACCTAGTTCATATTATGCTAGAGTTATCTATAGTGATAGCTCCTTCCTCGAACAGGCCTTCTATCTTAAATTCTTTTAGGCAGTTAGAGAGAAGGTCAAAGTCTTTTGTTCTTAAAAATAACCAAGCTGAAGAGACACATTCTGGGGTAGCAAATTCTGCTCCCCTATACCACCCAGGAGACTTAATGATCCTAAATGTATACATACCAACCAAGAGAGCCTCAAAGTACATGAAGCAAAAACTAATAGAGCTGGAAAAAAAAAGTTCCCCCCTTAATCCTCCAGGAACTGGACCTTCAACACAAAGTATTTGAAGACACAAAAAAATTAAGTGTTGTATTATTCATTTAAGTGTGGAAGATGTTTGTTGTAAGAAAAGGGATTTGTTAAATGAACTGTACTAATCTGACTCTCCTTATAAAAAACACGCAGGCTCCTCTCTGTGTCAGAACATTTCAAAACCTCAATGTCTACTTTCCCTCCTTGTGGGCCAGATGAGTAAAACAAACAGTGAGCCTGGCAGATCCCAATCCAAGCACAGTCTGAAGCCTGGTTTCTGATATTATGTACAGAACAAAGAATAGAAGGAACTTTAGTAAAATCTTAACTACAATGATCTCTTCAGGATGCAATAATATGATTTAAATTTCTTTCTTATTGTCTACATTTTACAAATTGCTACATTCAATAGTTTTAATTTAAAAAGTTCAATATCCTTAGAACTTTTTCTTTTTTTTTTTTTAATTTGCAGACATGATAGTACCTTTCAGTTTTTTTCATACTTGAATAGCAAACAGTTTGGGTATAAAATTCTAGAGTCATAATGTTCTTTATACATCATCCCACTGTCTCTTGGCATTTTTTACTTAGAGAAGAAACCTTGAGTCCTTCTCATTTCAATTCCTTTGAAAGAATCAAGTTTTTTTTTCCTTGTGTGTTTAGCAGCAGGTCTTTGTATTTAAATTAAAATTTTTCACCTGGAAACTTCCTAGGGTGTGTCTCACTTTGTGAATTTTTCCTTGCCCATGTTGAACTCTCTCAACCTCCAATTTCAGATTTCTTTTCAGATCTGGAAAATGTTTTTTTAAAAAATATATACATTTTTGTCCTCATTTATGATCCACTGTTCCATGTTATAATTCAAGAACATCTCTTATTTGTAGATTATTTGTAGGCTGGATTTCTATGACTTGTCCTCTGATATATATCTGAGCTCATTAAAATGTCTTTATTCATTTTATATTTGGGAGTATTTCTGAAGTGAATCTTCTCTGTTATTGATTCGATTTTTCCCACCATCATGTCTGCCTTTTATTGCTTTTAGTATGGAACCTGCTGGATTTTTTTTCCTTTCATCGCTGTCCTGTACTATATCACCCTGTTTCCTGGTTGTAAATCTAAGTCTATTCTTGTTTAATGGCAGCCATGTCCTCTCAAATCGTCTCTGGGGTTTCCTATGCTTCTATGAGCTCCCAGGCCATGTCTGTGACAGGATCCTGAGGGCAAATGTGGGGTGTGGGCCATCCTGGTGATGAAGATGAGGCAGGCCTCAAGTCAGAAAAATCCGAGAGAAGCAGAGTAAGTGTGAGCCGGGATGTAGAAATAACACGTGTATTAGCTACAGTACTGAGCACTTTCCACAGGGACCTCATTTAGTCCTCACAAAAACCCTAAAAGTGAGATATTTTATTATCCCAACCTGTCCCTCCATGTGCCTGGCACTCTTGCCTACACTGAACTGGACGGGAATGGAGAGTGGGCCTCAGGAGAGCAAGGTGGCCCTCTCTTCCCCTGAAAATATTAACGCCTTACTTTTGTTTACACAGAAGTATTATTTTCACTAAAATTTCGTGAAGTTGGTTGCGAAGGTAATTGTGACTGTCCCCAGAGAAGAGGAAACTGGGGTTCGGAGAAGCTTAATTGAGGCTTGAGCCCTGTCTCTGGATTCCTGCGTTGTCTTTGACGTCTGAAGCCAACGCAACCAGCGATGAAAACAGAGCACCAGACCTAGCACCTCCCAGTAATGGCATCATATCCTGTTGTGCAACGTTCTGGAGCCTCTAGGTTAGTGTTGCCTTGTGGCTGTCCCAGGAGCCACGGTGGCAGTTGGAGTTGATGCACAGGAAGCATGAGGAAGGCCAGGCTCCGGGGGCTGCTCTGGATGCTGTTCGTCTCAGGTAAGCAGAGGAAGAGGTGTGAGCTGGTGAGGCCTCTGCCCGGGACCTGGGGGGATCCCACCAGGAGAAAGGTTTCTCTTTCATTTGAAGCTCCAGGGGATATGGCCCCCCAAGAGACAGCCAACCAGTAGTTATGCCAGACTGGTTTCTCTACCCAAACGTGGCAGAATCAGGAATTCTCCTGATACAGGGCCTGAGCACAGAAATAAAATGGGGTAAGTTAGGGAGACAGTATGTCTGTGCATTTTGATGCTGTCAGAGACATGCAAAACACTAGAATGGGAAAATGACAGAGTAAATCTAAACTCGACATGATCTCAGATACTTTTATTTAAGTTTGAAGTTTTTTGCTTATATTCGGTCATGGTACTTTTGGTGTTGACAGTCTATTAAACCCAAAAGACATTTTGGGTGAGATAATCCTTGTTGTAGGGGTCTGTGCACAGCAAGATGTTTAGCAGCATCCCCGGCCTCTACCCATTAGATGCCAATAGCAGCCCACCCTACTCCCAGTTATAATGACCAAAAATGTCTCCAGCCATTGCCCAGTGTTCCCAGGGGGGCAAAATTGTCCCCCAGTGGAGAACCACTGCTGTGACTCCTTGACATCTTAGAATGCTTAGAACTCTTTTGGATGCAAGTGACATAAACTCAACTAAAGCAAAAATAAGAGGGGGATTTCTTGGCTCAGGCAACTGGAAAGTAATAAGGGGTGCTGGTGTGGAGCACAGCTGAGGCCCTGCCCCAGCTGATGTTGTCAGGTCTCTCTCTGTCTCTCTGTCTCTGTCTCTTTCTCTCTGGCTCTTTCTGGCCTCATTCTCAGGCAGACTATTTCCACACAGTGGAAATACAGCAACTGAAGTTTCACATCCCACTGACCTATCAACACTAGGAAGAAAGAACACTTTTCTTAATAGCTACAGTAGCCTCAGGGAGGATTCTGACGGGCCCAGCCCCACTTCCGTGCCCATTTTTAAACCAATCAGCACGGCCAGGGTGATGGGGTTCTTCGATTTGCTAAGCCTGTGTCGTGTGTCCCTCCTTGAGAATGTGGTCAGCCCCATTAGCAAAGCCACGTAGGATGGATCCCCTAAAAAGAGGTGCTCTGCTACCCAAGGAAGGGAGAGAGGAGTACCAGACGGTCACACATCAGTGTCTACCATGTCCTCATGATGGCTTCCTCACTGTTTTTCCAAGTCTCTTGAACCGATCTCTCTCCCCTAACTTAGACGGAGTTCCTCCAGCTGTTCAGAAAAGTCTCTTTCTGCTAGTATCATGTCTTCACATTCACTCTTCACCCTGTCCATCCTTCTCTGTAATCTTTCCCTCCCATGATGTCCCCATCACTCATGGTCTTAGCACTTGTCCCGAGTTCTGTCTCCAATCAGGCAATTTCCTCCTCTCAAAAACAATCACTTATATAAGTTGATTTGCATGAACCATATGTAGTCTAGCTCTCATAGTAAAAAAAACTACTCACAGTGGAAACATCTGGGATCTAGTGCTGTCTTGCTTCGAAAGTTGCATCTTTTCTGCAGGCCTTAAGGATCTTGTTTGACGTTGGGTGATTGAACAAAAAAAAAAAAGAGAGAGACAGCTCCCCTTTCTTTTTTTCCAAAGAGAGGAAAGCTATTCTTCACAGAGCCAACCTCTGATTCCCCGCTTACAGAACTCCAAGTTGCGGCTGAGGAAAAGAGGACCCTAAAAGAGGGGCAGACCCTGAGCCTGGACTGTGTCTACACCAAGAAGTACTCCTACAGCCAGAAGGCTTGGCAGAGGGTGACGGATGGAGGGAAGGTCGAGACGCTGGCAATCACAAACAGGACTTCAAGGAAGAGCAGTCAAGAGCCCGGGGGGAGGTACTTCCTAGAAGACGATTCCGTGTCGTCCGCAGTGCGCGTCCGAATGACCAACGTTCAAGTGAGTGACTCTGGACGATATCAGTGTGTGATCTACCTACCTCACAGCGACCCTGAAATCCTCAGCTCTGTCCACCTGGTGGTGACCAAGGGTGAGTGGCCTGCGGGCGGGGAGAGCCAGGTCAGGTGGAAGTAGGGGGCTGTGGTGGTAGCACCAGCAGAGCAGTGGTTCAGGATCTCTAGCGGCCCGTCATTCTCCCAGAAGCTCCTCGTCTCTCATACGAGTCCCCTGAGAGGCATTTGTTCCCACAGTAAGAAGCAGCTTCTATGTAGGGATTCCTCTTGGGTAGCAGAGCCTAACTTTTGGTGCTCTTGTAGGAAGCGGGGTACAGTGAAAGGTGAGTGGTAGACTTGGGGTCATTTAGTCTCATTCTTCAGGTCTCCACGTAGAAGTCATTTCCTCAGGAAGCCTCTGATCCACTCTCCCCCTCCCAAGGATGCTTTTGATGGCCCTCCTGTGTGCTTCCAAAGCAGCGCTTCTCAGCCCTCCCTGCGGGCACGAACCACCCTGGGATCTTATTTCAAACGCAGACTCTGATTCAATAGGTCTAGTGTGGGACCCAGATTCTGCATTTCTGATCTGCTCACAGGGGATGCTGATGCTGCTGGCCCATGGCTCCCGTTTTGGGTAGCAAGGCTCCGGAGCTCACTTCATGTCCCCTCTCATAGACAACACTATATCACTGGGTAGTAGTGGCCGGTTTACGTACCTGTCTCCCCTATGCCTCTCTGAGCACCTTGAGGGAAGGGCTTGTGTCCGGCTCAGCTCTGTATCCCCAGCAACTAATGTAGTGCCTGGTACATAGTAGCCCCTCAGTAGATATTGACTGGATGAATTAAGGAAGGCAGAGGAAAGAGAAGCAGGTTCAAGTTCCTAGCACCTGGAGAATTCTAAGTGTAAGAAGAAAAGGTAAATATATATTAATAAAAGATAACTTTTAAAGAAATATGCCACAGGTACAGGTGAGTGCAAGGCAGAGACAATGGTGTAAGGTAGAGTAATCAGGGAATTATTCTGGAAGAGGGTGGGGCATACGGACTGGTGAAGAATAGCAGGCAAGTACTTTTGCAAGGACACCAATAGCCTGAAAATTCTTTTCTTCTTCCTTCCCTCTCTGCATGCCTCCTTCCCCAGCTTCCTGCCTCCTTCCTTCTCTCCCTCGCTGTTTCTCTACCTCCCTTCCTTCTTTCCTTTTTCTGACCCAGGCTGACCCCACACTATTTCGTTAAACCTAGCAAAAGAAAACCTTGCCTCCTGAACAGCCACGTTCATTCCTCCTCAGCTCCAGATACCCCACCACCTCTCCATTCATCCACCCACCCAATGTACCTTCTTGCAGGTTCTTCAGCGACCCCTGTCCCAGGCAAGACTGCTACCCAGAACCGGGCTCAGATTCCCACCCATCCTCCTACCACCACTGAGGCCCAGAACAAGTTCCACACCAGCCCCAGGATAGTGACCCAAGGCCCGCCCAAGTCAACTGCCGGCGTCTCCCCTCCTGGGCTTGGAGTCAACCCCACAAATATGACATACATCACCAGGTATGGTTTCCAGGCTCTGGGTCCCTGGTTTGGACACCAAGCCCTTTGATTCCTAGTCTATGAGAGGAGGATGTGTGGAGTGAGGAGTGGGGGAGGGTGAAGGGCAGGCACAGGTTTAAGTCACCTCAGTCTGGTGGAACTCCCCAGGGGAGGAAGGAGGCGGTGCCAGAGGGAGGAGGAGGCTCCTGATGACAGACGTTGCCACTCCCCCCAGTTCACTGCTGTGTTTCCTTGCCCACCAGAGGGGTAAGGAGAGGGAAATGGTGTCTTTGCTGAATTCCAATGGACCTCAGCCAGTCCAGGGGCCTAATGGTGTAGTGGAAAAAGTACTTTGAGTGAGGGACCCTGGCGTCTCATGCCAGCCACACTGACTTGCTGTGTGACTTTGGGCAAGTCAGGAATCCTCTCTGGCTTCAGTTTCCTTGTCTATACTGTAGGGAAGCTAGGAAACCAGAGCTGAAAGCAATAATCTAGCCCAACAGCTGTCAGCAGCCGCTACAGAGTGGGATTACCTGGAGTATTTGCTTTTGCTTCATTTGGTTTATTTCTAATACCCATGTATGTGCCCTACTGCAGACCAGCAGAATCAGCATTTCTGGAGTCAGGGCTGTCTCAGTATTTTTATAAGATCTTCAGGAGATTTTTTAATGTGCAGGCAAAGCTAAGAGCCACTACCTTTGCTTGCATATCCCTTTACGGTTGATTTATCTTAGAATGTGGTCATCATTAAATATTGAATTAACAGAGAAAGAAATATTCTTCCATATTCCAACTAATCTCACAAGTCTTTTTTCTTCATATTCTCTTCTAGTCTTTATTCATGTTTTAACATAGTAGTAGTTCTAATTATGAACATTTTCATTATTTTTCCATGCTAACACTATTCTTCGATGTTGCTACCTACTTGTCATTATTATAATTTCAGCAAATGCATACTCTCCTATCAGTGGAAAAGCCATAACTGACATAATCATTTGTCTGTTTCTAGACATTGAGATTGTTTTCATTTTTTATAGTATTGATAACTCTGAGATGAACATATTTGTGCAGATATCTTTTTCTTCTTTTAAATCAGTCATTCAGATGAAATTCCCATGAGAGAACTTGAACATTTATATCGCTCTGTAGGTACATGGCCAAATGGCCTTCGAAAGATTGGAAACAGTTTGCAGTGTGATCCGTAAAGCATTGGTGTCACTGCAGGCTTGCCTACAGGGATGTAGTATTTTAAAACTATTCTGCCCTAATAGACGTGAACTGGTACTCCCTTCGGTTTCTCTATTGCTGTGAACCATGAGCTCCGTGTAGATGGAGCAGTGTCTGTTTTCCTTACGTTGTTTCCCTGGCACCAGCTTAAGCCTAAGGTATGTAGTAGGTGTTCATTAAATCCTTGTGGACTGAATAAAATAAATGAGCTACTGAAAGTCAACCTTTTTCTTTTCTCACTGCTTTTATTTTCCAGCATGTAAACTGAGAGCACATGACCTTCACCCCCGCTCCTCCTAGAGGCTGCCCCTCTTTCATCTATTAACTTTATCTGTTAACTAATATGAACTATGCTAGGGTCAGAGTCTAGTCAGGAAAGCAGAAGCCACTGAGCTGTTTGAACAAGAGGTCATTTAACAGAGAGTGCTCTTTGCCTAGGTGATGGAATAGCTGAGACCACAATGGTGAGGCACTTCAGAAGAAGACATTGTCACCCTGTCTTTGGGTGGGTTCCCCAGAACCGAGTGGATGTG